AATCATTTCTAGTAAAATGCATACCTTTTGGTCCTCGTCGCTGGGGTTTATCATGGCAGGCAGCAGTTGTGGTACTCGAGAAATTGCCATTCCCTGAACAACCGGTGATTCATCGTTCATCAAACTCAGCACTAACACCTTCAGGTACCGCATCGCTCGGTGCTGTCCTAACAGTAGAGCGACTTCATGGATTCCAGCAGCGATGTGATGCCGAACCTGTGACGGGAAATACCCAAAGAAAACCCAAACTAGGTTAATTACTGCATTCATAACAACGAGAGTGAGGAATGTTGTACCTCTTCACTTGGATCACTCGCCAGCTTGGCTAGCAAATCGTCCATCAAAGTGGATATATACGTCGATCCAAAAGCTTTTACGATGGCAGGGAAATTATACGCGCAGTATTGCCGTATTTCCTGTTCTTCATGAGAGCAAAGCTTCGAATAACCTTGCAGAAACACTTGGCCTGTATCGTTTCCGACATGATTCAGGGTGGCTAGCTTTGTGACGAGCTGGCCGTACTGCTCGGCTAGCAATGGAACGAGGTAGTCAGGAAGCGACTCGGCAATCCCGATAAATTCTGGAATTATCTGTTTGGTGCGATCCCGAGCAGGGAAAAAGTCGAATAATGACAAGAGGGCGAGAAACGCTATTTGCTTGACCTGCAGAGTTGGTAAGCAATAATGTCAATCTTAAGCGCAACCACTTCCAATAAAACACGTGATATACAATACCTGTTCTTCTTCGTCGTTTAGCAACTCTAACAGCTCTGGTAATAACTCCTTGCAAGCGTGTTCCTCTCTGTTTTAAACAGACGATGCATAAGCGGAAATTAATAAAACCGTGGAAAAACTATACACGAACCCCACTGCCCGAGCGAGTCCGTCTAGTTGAATACACATGCATTTGCGAACTTCGGCGTCTGTGTCTTGGCACAAGGACATCATCTACGAACAGAAAAAATGTTAACCTTGAATCGTACAATAAAACGCTGCTAGATCTCAAACGCAGAAATACCTTTTGAAAGTAAAGTCCTTCAATGTCTGGGGCAGACAAGAGATTCAAAGCGGTGACGGCACCCAGAATAAAGCAGCAAATAAGCCTCGAGCCGGGTGTTTGAGAAACATCCCCTTTCTCAATGGCTACTCGAAGAATCTGTAGCAGAATAGAAAATATTAGTTCACGTTGCAGCGTATATCTATTGCTCACATTCCCTATACCTGCGTCTTCTTCAGTGCAGTACCGATGCGTGGCAGAAGTGCAATAACGACCGAGCTTGCTTCTTCGGCAAAGTCCTTTTGCTGGATCTCCGCAATAATATCGAGTGCGAAAGGGACCAGCAACTTGGTGACCTGTTCGTCCGAAAGAAGAAATACAGCGTTTTTCTTCTCCGTCCAGCAAGTCTCAAGCTGGTGAGCATATTCATCGTGGAATGTGACGGTCGGATAGCTCAGCACTTTTCCATCGACTGTTGCACATGCCAAGCTCGCGAGTCCCTTGAATAACTCAAGAAGAACCGCAACGTCGGCGTTCATTTCCGACTCGTACTTTTGCCACACACCCTGGAGACGTGCAAATTGATCATAGTCTTAGTGAATTGTTCGGAAAACGATTTCTTGACTACTCGCCTCACCTTCATACAATCCAGAATAATACTTAGATTTGTCTTTGAGTTGTTGCTCGCCAGTATCTTCGGTAATGAGTTCAAGATGCTAATCTTCTGCTTGTCCAGCCCTGTCTTGAGGAGCTTCTCCGCTCTTTCCATTTCCGGCATGTTTTCGTCTACATTGAGCTTTTCGAGATCTGATTGGGACTAAGGACATACCAGCTAATTTGTCAGCTTCATTATAGTGATTCGTTTTCAAAACGACGTACCAACGTGTCTTCGCGTTCGAAACATTCCGCCTCTCGCTCGTTAAAGAAGCCGAGGTCTTCCATTCTGAGGGATGTCTTGGTAAGCGGTGGACTGGAGGAGCACACTGACCACCTCCCTCTTCATCCCCTGGGTGCGAAAAACTCCCACGGCGAGCCTGTTCCGCCGCGTCCTAATGCTACAGCTTCCTGGATGCGCCTTCTCCCTAGATAGCACAGCGCCCACACACACAGCAGTCATCACAAAGCACTTGCTCCATCTATTTTTGAAAAACTAGCTTTCTCGAAACCACTGCAGTGTTAGTCTGAACATCATGCACTATCTCGTTAGTCTCTATTGTACGTATTATAACAGCTCGTGTCCTTTTCTCCAGTAGTCTATCTGGGTCCGATAATTCTGCTAAGATCTTGTCGTTTCTAGTTTCTAGTTGGAGTCTTCAGCAAGTGGCATGATTTCGGCATATTTTTGCCAGATGAAGGCTACTTCCTTCTCCTTCCCCTCAACGAGCTGCTCTTGCCGTCGACGTTCAGTCTCGCGCTGAGATTCGCTCAGTAAAAGTTCTTCACGTAAACGGAAAATCTCCTTTCGAAAGATCTTCTCCTTCACCTGGGCTTTCTCTACAGCTGCAGTCAACTTACCAACTTTCTCTCGCAGCGTCACCAAGAGCTTCTGCTTATCGAGTTGTTGTTCAGCTACGTCGAGTTTGTCCCGGTCACGCTCCTCTTTCTCCTGCATACGCTCGCGTTTGACACGCCCCAGCTCTTCTCGACAATTCTGGCACTGTCTCCGAAGCGACTCAATCTTCAGCTCGCGTTTAGCTAACCGAGTTTTCCACGATCGCTGGGTCGCCTCCGCCGCCTCGACGTTCTGACGCAGAGTGGCTACCAATTCGCGCTCCTTCTTGCGATAATCCGTGTTTTGCAGCTTGAGTTCATCCACTGACTTCATGACAGCTTGAAGCTTGGCCTTCCAGGCCTGCACATCGTCGGTCTTCTCCTCAAGCTTTTTGTTGAGTTCCCATTTCGCTGCTTTTTGCGCTGAAAGTTCACGGCCCACGCGGTGAAACTCACTCTCCCAGTGCTCACACTGCTTTTCTTTACCTTGCAATGCAGCTTGAAGCGCCTTTTCGCGTTGTTCTCCTTCGTAAAGCTGCATTTCGCGTGTTAAGATGCTGCCCTTTGCTTCGGCGATTTGTGCCTCCAGAGTTTCGATCTGTGTCATGGCATCGGCCACAAAGGTCATGCGGCACTCGAGCTCATCCGATGTCTCGTGGAGCTGCGATGTCACCGCTGCCACCTGCTCCTGCAGTGCAGCGACCTCCTCGTCTCGATCACGGAGCTTTCCCCGCAGAGCTCGCACCTCCGCCGCAAGCTCCAGCTCCACATCGCTGTCTATCATCGCGTCTCTTCGTGCGTGAAGAGACGTACACTTCCAACCGCTTGACAAGGTCAAGTCCGACGCATCCGACACATCGGACTAGCAAACGAGGCTTTGTCGTGACGTGCCACTTGCTTCAGGTGGATGGAGATTCAGCGAAGATTCGCACTGGCAACGCGAACGAAATCGACAAGAGGATAAGCATAACTCAAGATTGGGTTTGGTTCGCTCTGTTCGGTGTCTCGTTGCCGCCATTGGCAATTACATGTATCATGCATGCCATTTACATTGCACTGTCGCAGCTGGAAATGGCAGCCTGCCATCGATCTGGCATTAATGGTGGTGCTTGGTTCGCCATGCAACTTGAAGCGGTCATCCTCTATAAATAGATCCGCGCTCGTTCATTGGGCAGATTCACTCATTCTTGTCCCAGCTCGCATCAAAGCACCACTTTAGCTTTTGATCCACCCGTGAGACCCGTGTATTTCATGGTAACGGCGGCTGGTCATTAGAACAGTAAAGGCACGCCTCTCTCAACTTCAGGACCATCACTCTGCATCTTTCTGCGATGGAGCGCACGCAGTCGCTCCCAGTTGCGCCGCCGTCTGTGCTGGCGTCCATGTCACCCCCGTGCTCGCCGCCGCCTCTATGCTCGCCGCCAAGTGTGTCCAAGTACGTGGTGGGCGTATGCGCTATGGAGAAGAAGACGCGCTCCAAACCCATGCGGGAAATCTTGCGGCGTCTCGAGAAGAAGCGGCAGTTCGACGTGTTCGTGTTTGACGACGAAACGATCCTCAACCGTCCCGTGGAGGCTTGGCCGGCATGTGATGCGCTTATCTCGTTCTATTCGACAGGTTTCCCACTCGAAAAGGCCGAAGAGTATGTGCGCCGCGTGCGTCCCGTACTGGTCAATGAATTGGGTATGCAACACGTACTCTTCGACCGCCGCAAGGTGTATGCTTTGCTCACTCGACACGGTATTCAGGTGCCGCGCCACGTCATTGTGAACCGCGATTTACCCGGTGGAAAACAGGACGAACTCATCGAACACGACAACTACGTCGAGATCAACGGCGTACGCATCAACAAGCCGTTTGTAGAGAAACCGGCAGATGCAGAGGACCACAACGTCTACATCTACTATCCGACCAGTGCTGGTGGAGGCAGCAAACGTCTCTTCCGGAAGGTAGGGGACCGCTCAAGCGAGTTCTACCCGGACGTGAACCATGTCCGAAGAGATGGCTCGTATATCTACGAAGAGTTCCTGAATACACAAGGAACGGACGTCAAGGTGTACACGGTTGGATCGAGTTATGGCCACGCGGAAGCCCGCAAGTCTCCGGTACTTGATGGCCGCGTGGTGCGTGATTCAGCAGGCAAGGAAGTACGCTATCCCGTCATATTGAACTCGACGGAGAAGGAGATGGCGAGGAAAGTGTGTCTAGCCTTCCATCAGACGGTGTGTGGCTTCGACCTGCTACGTGTTCGCGGCAGTTCATACGTGTGCGATGTGAACGGTTGGAGTTTCGTGAAGAACTCGAAGAAATATTATGATGATTGCGGACTCATCTTGCACAATTATTTGGTGTCGGCACTGCGTTCGCGGTACTTTCGCCAACGCCGTGCCAATTCATTGACCTCTATGGGTACGCAGATGTGTCCGCAGTACGCCACGGAACCTAATGTCATGAGCAATGGAGGCCACGATTGGCACAACCATACAAGACCAAGTTCGGGCTCGGATGTCTCCGAATCGAGCGTAGCTAGCGCTAGTAGCGCTGGCTTCACGCTTGACGACGAGAATCGCGAGGAGCTACGCTGTGTCATCGCTGTGGTGCGTCATGGTGATCGTACGCCTAAACAGAAGCTGAAAACTCTTGTATGGGAGAGGGATCTCGTAAACTTTTACGAGAAGCGGCGTAGTGAACGCAAATATGACGAGGTGAAGGTTAAGGCAGTCGCAGATCTCCAGGAGCTACTAGACCTGGTGCGTAGTCTGATTAAGGCGTACGCCCCTGGTGTCGGCTCTAAGGACGCGGTCTGGGAAGAAGAAGGAGGCGACAGCTTTGAAAAGTTACTGCAGATGAAGCGTGTGCTGGAGCGGTGGAAATTTGCTGGTATCAATCGCAAGGTGCAATTTAAGCCGCACAAGAGCTACGCTGCTGCAGCTGCTGCATACGCTGAAGCTCCCGATGGAGCAGAGAAACCGAAGGTCCTCATGATCCTCAAATGGGGAGGTGATCTCACAGAACGAGGTAAGCGGCAAGGAGAAGAGCTGGGACAGTCGTTCAGAAACAGTTTGTATCCTGTTGAAGTGGAAGAAGGGGGTTTACTTCGTTTGCACTCGACTTTTCGTCACGATTTAAAGATCTTCACATCAGATGAAGGACGTGTGCAAATGACTGCAGCTGCATTTGCTAAAGGCTTTTTGGAGCTGGAAGGAGATCTCACACCTATCCTCGTGAGTCTCGTCACAACTCTGGGAAGAGGTAAATTGTCCATCCTGTTTTGTGTCATGTTGCCATTATGCGTTTGTTCTCACGTGTTGCATACGTCAATAGATGCCAATAAAATGCTGGACCACTCTGGACAAGCTGACGCTAACGAGGAGATGCAGACGATAAAGACCAAGTTGAGGACTTTATTGCAGCGGGATTACTCTTCCATGGAAGAGATGAAGGCTGCAATCGCCCCGTTGAAGACGGAATCTATCATTCAGGCACTGGAAATCATAAAGAATCCGAAGGAAGCATTGGTTCGTCTTCTGGAACTTGTTCGCAAATTTCGAACTGAAATTGCTGAGCGTGTCCAGGACAAGCGTGAGTTGGCATCGATAGAAGGACGTGTGACGCTTATTTTACTAACACTTTTCAACACTTTTCGTTTTGTATATTTTTTCAGAGGCAGATGAAGCAACTCCATTGTACATGGGTGAAACATTCTCGCTCATGTTCGAGCGCTGGGACAAGATCTATCGCGACTTCTACTCCACCAAGACTGACACATTCAACATGAGCAAGATTCCCGACGTACACGACTGTATCAAGTACGATCTGCTTCACAACTCGAGCGTCGGCTGGAAGTACGGTCTTGAGCTTTTCAAGCTCGCTGAGGCTCTTGCACGGTGTTACGTTTCACAGGAGTACGGCATGGATATAGCGGAAAAGCAGTCAATTGGCAATCGTGTTTCGCAAGCACTGTGCGCAAAGATCCGAGCTGATATTGTGACTGTCATGTCGGCATCAGCAGAACAGGAAGAATCGCCTTCCCCCTCGAAAAATCTGTACGGAAATGGAGAAGCTGTTGAAGACGGTACTGTTGATCTCGCTGACCCGGATATTGAACACCACGGATACCGTTTGGACCCGTCCTACGCGAAAGAGCTGCGAATTAAGAGTCCTGGAACTCAAGTTCGCACGCGTCTTTACTTTACGAGTGAGAGCCATCTCCACACGCTGCTGAATGTGCTGCGTTTCCAATGTCCATCATGGCGTGCACGGCATGAAGGTGGCGAGGACGATGAGTACGATATTTCGCTCGAGCAGGAGAAATTCAGCAACGAAATCTTGAAGCGTATGGGCATCAGCGTCAATGACCACATGACGCAGCGCAAATACGTCTTTCGAGAATCCAAGCTCATCTCTGATGGCAGTCGACGTGCGTTAGACCGCGTAGCCGAGATCAACTACCTCGCTCACGTCGTTATCCGGGTCTTTGAAACTCCATCGCTGCCTCAAGACTGCGAGGATCGCTTCCGCGTAGAAATCTCCTTCTCCCCTGGTGTAAAAGATGGCCTTGCAGCCTTCCCTGACGGCGCCGAAGGAGTGGAGGACACGATATACCTTACCAAGAATATGACCGGCGTCATGTTCGAGGACATGCTAGCGGCCTGCGTCTCGTCGATCCAGAGCACTTCCGTCTAATGAAACTAGACGACATCATTTTACATTTATTCATGGAAATAGAGCACTCGAGAACACGAAGAGTATATAAAGTCATTGACAAAATCACTTGAGTCAATTACTCAGATGAGCTTGATACGTGTCGGAAGCTTTCCTTGCTCTCCTCTACTCCTGCCCAAGCCACTCGGTGAAGCGATGCGCGTGATACGCAGCCGACAGCGCTCCAAGCGACGCGATTGATACGGGAAGCGGCTTCTTCGTGCGCACAGCACGCATGCCCATCGCGCCCATGGTGATCGATGACATGAGCAGCCCCACGCCGTGGCCGTTGGTCATCTCGCCCTTCTGCAACAGGTAGCCTGCGACGCCGAATCCCGCGCCGAGCGTTACTCCAGCCACCAATGATGGAACACTCTTGGTCTTCAGGTAGCCGAACACTCCACCCGCCGTAAGCAGGCCTGCCATCGTGTATGTCGGATGGTGCGCCATTTCGTCCTTGAAATCAAAAGTGAGATGCGTGTCACTTCACAGTCAAGATCGGTACACTGTACCGCTGTTGTTTACTCCATGAAAACCTCTTGACTGGCATATTTCCTATTGTGAATTGTACATTAGCTAAAGTATTGCTGAAAATGTCCTACAACGCACACCAGCCTTGAATCGGTACGTATCTTCTTCTTGATGGAAACCAACGCAGGAACATCCGCGCCACGTAGGACCCCAAAGAGCCGAAGCTCTGCGTAACCGAAACGAGCTCACGCACGATCCAAAGCAGTCAATACTAGGGGAGATCCGATTGGGACAGCTTGGGAGACACACAACTGTAAGTTGGTTGTGGCACAGATACGCTAGCACTGGTTCTTACTGTTAATCGTAGCTACTGGGCACTGGTGGGGCGCCAGGGATGTAGCGCAATTTGCGTGGTGGGTTGCTGAGTTGGTGAACGTGGTAACCCGCCGACATTGCACCCGCCGTGGCGATCAGCGCTGGAGCACGGAGCCCAGTTAGAGCCGCACGGCGTTCCATCACGCTCGTGATGATACCCGACATGGCCAGCGACGTGCCGTGCTCGAAATGGTGGTCCGTGATGGTATCCGTAAGCACCAGCAGCCCTGCGCCCAAAAACCCGACGCTCAGTGCGATGCCACCTACGAGCGACGGAATGTGGCGCTTTAGCACGTAGCCAGCGCCGCCGGTGAGACCCACGATCGTCGCGTACGTGAACGCTTGATGTTTTCCTCCTGCCATGTCCGAAATCGCTTTAAGTGAGACGGTCAGCTACCAAACCTTTTACTCTGCATATACTTTTATAAAGGATGTAGCCAAATCAACTTAAAGTGCACTGCAACTTCACATATTCATCAGCGAATGTATCTATCTACTTGCTGCGCATGATGTGACGCAACTCAACGCCTAGGATCTCCGTGACCTTGAGCTGCATCTTAGCCATTTCCTGGCAGGCGCAGACTTCCTCCACCTCGGGCAGGAAGCGGCAGCAGGACGCAGCCACTTCAAAGTGTTCGAATGCCTCGCTTGTACGACCCTGCGCAAAGAGCACCTGGGCAATGTCCAGGTGTGCCGAACTGCAACGAGGGTCCACTTCAAGAGCCTGCTTGAAGTGTGCGATGGCACGCATAGGATCGTTCGTGCCCACATACACACGACCAGCGTTCAAGAACGGCAGCGGACACAGCGGCGACAGCTCCCACGCGGTCAAAAAGTGGCGCATGGCGTCGGCATAGTTACCCTGATCGGCCAGCACTTCGCCGTAGAACAGATGCACTTCCGCCGACCCCGGGAAATTCTTCGAGGCCTCCTCGAATACGTCCTTGGCCTGGTATGTTGAGCCGCTCTTGTAGAGCGCCATGCCGTATGTTACATGGGTAACCGGCAGGGCATCAGACCGCGAAATGCAGCGACGCAGACATTGAGCGGCCTTGTAGTAGTTGCCATCTAGGAGCTCCATCTGTCCTAAGTGAAGATGCACGTCTGCCTCGTTCGAGTCCAGCTCCATGGCCTCGGAGAAGCACGACGTGGCCTCGTCCGTCTCGCCGATTTCTGCCAAGAAGCCGCCCTTCTTCACCAACGAATTCACCAGCGTTGGCTGCAGCTCCAAGCTCTTGTTGATGACTTCGATAGCCGTGTGCACGTCACCCACGACATAGAGCAGCGACGCATGCAGGTTGAGTGCCAAAGCGCGGTCCTCTACGGTGAGACCTTCGGCTTCCATGTCCTTGGCCACAAGCGTGGATATGTCATGTTGGGCTTCGCCGTAGCTCTTGATACGCTTGTAGTGAATCGCACGATGAAGTAGCGTGAGCGCGTCCAGGTCAGATTGTTTCACATTCTCCTTCTTCGCGATATCGAACGGCACACGCGCAGTGTAATCCGCGTCGTGCTCGAATGCGTCAAAGTAGCTGTCAACCAGCCACGAAGACGGAAGTTCGTGCTTCTTCTCCATCTTCGCGAATAGATTCTTCGCCACACGACGACCCACCAGGCGCGACACACGGTCAATGGACTCAGCGTGCTCCGCCGAGCGCGAGCCATCAAGAATGAAGGACGTCACGTAGTGCTGCATGGCCGTTTCAGGGTGCTTTGCCTTCTCCTCAACGATCCCCAAGCACTCGTATGCACCGACACAGTACGGGTTGAGCTTCAGTGCAATCAGAGCTTCAGTCTTCGCGCGGCTCAACTCGTTCAAGTCGAGGAAGCTCCTGGCCCGGCCAACTATCGCGTTTTCCAGGTCCTTGTGGTAGAGCGGCAGGTACTCGAAAGCCTTGGAGTACGCTGCCAGTGCGACTTGGTAACGCCCTGATCGCCGGCGAATGTCACCATCCAGTACAGCCTCACGAACACTTGCTAGCTTGTCAGCAAGCGAGTCGTCAGTTTTCAACGAGCGAGTGAGGAAGTGCTTAAGAACGTAGAGTGACTTCTCCGCCTCAGCCACTCGGTCTGCAAGCTGCTCCCGCTTTTCGTCGTGAAGAGTATCACATAGCGCCTGGAATTCAATCTGACTGAGCTCCTTGGTTTCGTCCTTGATGACGTCCCATGAAGCCTCCGCTAACGCCTGGGTGAATGACTTGATTTGCAACGTACTCAGCTTCTTGTGGTCAGTACCCACGTCCTGTGGGATGAAACCCAGCGCGTAAACAGCGCTCGGATACATGTGCTTCCAGCTCTCTGTAAACTTGTCTACAGGCTCTGCATCGTTACTGTTCTCTTCCACCGTCGCGGTTTGTGTAGTTCTCTCGACATCAACCTTTTCATCACCGACAGTATCCGTCTTGCTGTTGCATTCCTCCTCCTTGGTATTCTTCTCCTTAGGAGGGTTCTCCTCGCTATTAGCATCCTCAACGCTGACTTCCGTATCCTTGACGGTGGATTCATTCTCGACGGTTTGCTCTTCAGTCACCGGGTTTTTCTTGAAGGTTGTTTCAGCCTCAGTTGAGCTATCTTTGAAGGCAGCACCTTCCTCAGTAGCACCGGCATCTTTATCTTCATCTTCCTTGTCCATCTCATCTAGCTCTTCCTCGCTAAACTCTTCCTCCTCCAGATCGATCACAGTTTCTTGAGGGTCGAACTCGCTTTCTTCATCGCTAGACTCCTCGTCTTCTTCATTTACACTATCAAACGCCCACGGAGTACGTTGGCCCACTAGCTCGCGCATTTTCTGCTCCAGTTTCGTTGCGAGCTCAAATACATGGTCCTCGCTGAGGTCTGGCACTTCCACTACTGCGGGCGGTGTGTACAGAACTTCCCAGAGTTCGTTAATTGCCTTTACCTGCGCTGTGCATTCGTGGTCGTGCTTTTCCTCCACCCATTTGTGCACACTCATAGCCATCGCGCCTTCATTGAGCCCCTTCTCCTGGTAGATTAGGTCTGAGCATACCTCGATCACGTCCTGGAAGAGCGACCCACACTGTGTTTTAACCTCCTGCAGCGAACGCTTCTTGCGCAACGAAGCAGGGAATCCGAAAGGGGCCAGCACGAAAGATACCACGCGGAAGATTGTTCGTGATGCATCCAAGAACTCGTCTTTGCTGACTGGCGATGGCATATCAAAGAACCGGTGGCCATCCTTAATCCACACAATCTCCTCAGCTTTTTCTTCCTCGTGTTCCTTGCCAGTATCTCCTCGCTCCAGGCTTGCCTTCCCGCTGAGCTCGTCTTTGTAGGCTTTTTCCAATTCCTCTACTTCCTTCTTACCCTCTTCAGTTAAGTTGACTTCACTCGACTGTGGTGAGAGATCGAACTCTCCTTTATCAGTTTTGTACAATAACCGACCTTCGAGGAAAATGTCGGCCGTACATGAAGACGGGAACGACGTGATCAATGTGTCCGTAAGTGCTTCTGAGCAAAATGCAATCCAACCGCGTTGACCAGCCAGTAGCAACGCAGTGGCGACCGCGGCAGCTTCTGCTGGTACACTAGCTACAACTGCAACAGGTTTATCCAGATCAATGCCGTTCACTTCCAATACCTCTTTCAGCTCCTCCACAGGCAGAAGGAACGCTCCTTCGCCGCTTTTGTCGGCACTAGGCTCCTCATTACTCTTCTCTTCGGACCCTGCATCAGTAAAAATGGACGTAAATGGAACGTTGATTGCACCGTCAAGGTGGCCCGACACCTCCTTGCCACTAACAAGGCCCAAAAACTCTTTCTGCTCTCTGCAGTCCAAGATCTGTACCCTGTCCTCCTCCTCTTGTTGCTGTAGCACCTGCTGGACAAATGCCGCTGCGTCCAGAACTTTCACGGCACCAGTATCGGGTGCTTCCAGTGCTGCCTTGTCGCAGTTGAGCAGCTCCGCTAGCGAGAAGCACGTGCCCATGGCCGAGTCGCTAACGGAGACCGTGGCACCGCTCTCTTTTGACTGCTGCAGCTGCCAGTGCAGCATACAGGCCACCGCTAGCTGGTGTTTGGTGTCCTCGAAGCCTGAGAGCGTGCAGAGCTTGGCGTCGTCGTCGCGTGAGGCTGCCGAGAGCCCACAGACACGCGCCACCTCCTGTACGCACGACTTGCTGTTGGGAGAGACCTCCGGCGAGTCCGAAACGCGCACGATGAGCTGCTCCAGCGCCATCCCCATGTCCGAAAATGGAGGGTGTGGTGTGCTAATGAGTATGTGAGACCTCCCGTGCAACCTTGCTTATCACCGAGATGGCCGGTGCTGTTGTGGTGGGTGAGATTTGCACATGAAGTGGCAACCGCGTCAATACAAATCCCAAATGATGTTGCCATATGTGTGTTGAAACACCAAACTCTGCAAACTTTGCTTGTTGTAAAGAGGAGTGACGGTCATGATCTTCTCGTTCTACATCTACACTCGCAGCGGGTCGTGTCTGTACCAGGAGAAGTGGAATGTCCCCAATGGCAAAAGCGTAACGTATTCAGATCCGGAGGAGGAGAAGCGTCTGCTTTTCGGCTTGCTCTTCTCGCTCAAGGAATTCGTGGGGAAGATCGCGCCTACGACGGCGACGCAGACGAGTGCGGATCCGTTCGGGACGGCAGAACCTGCTGCTTCTGGCGCTGGCACGGCACCCGAGGGGATGCAGCGATACCAAACCAACTCGTACACGTGTCACCAGTACGAGACACCCAGTGGTCTGCGCTTCGTGATGATGACAGACAACCAGGCGGGTGACATGACTCCCACGCTCAAGTACATCTACTCACAGATCTACGTGGAGACAGTGGTGAGCAATCCGCTAAGCGACACCAAGAGCGGCAAGCCGATTACTAGTCAGCTCTTCCGTTCGCAACTAACGCAGTACCTCGAGGGTCAGCCGTGCTTCAGATAAAACAGCGTTGACTACTGATCCATGCGTACAAACATGAAAAATAAAATGCGTGTTAAGAGGGTTTTCGACGCGAGGTTTCATGTTATGGCTCATGCAGCAGGGAAGAAACCCTGGAGGATGTGAACTACTTCAGCTGCGGTGGGACGGAGAGCTGGCTCATGGTGCCAGCATCGCTGGATGAGGTCACGGAGTGGCTGAATAGAGGAAGGGGTTTAGTGTAGGTCAGGATGATAATTTCTCGAATGTGTGTTGTTCACTTACCAGCGGTGTCATGGGAGAGATTATGGGTCGTCTTCGCTCTTGGACGACAGCAATTGGGATTTGGGCAGGAGCCAGGTCCCTGAAAGGTGCAGCCCCTTCACAGATTTCCCACAAAATGATGCCAAAGCTGTATACGTCCGCTGACAATGAGTACTTCTGGCTGGTAAGGACTTCCCTGTTGAAGCAAACACCTCCGTTATCAAAACGTCGCTCTCCAATTGTCACGATATCTATTTCACGTACGGAGCCATCCATTGAAACGTGCCACAACATCCTGTCATTAGCTCCGATTGATCGTTTGAGCGCGATATTCCGAAATCTGTACTTGCATGAGTAGTGAACTGAGATTACATAGTGCGTATAACGTTAGTTACCACCACCTACCGGCAAGTTTTACACGTCCCTCAGCCGTCATGAGCAGATTCCTTAAATTCACAAAGAAGATCAGACTGCCAGCGTCCACAAGAAAATTAAAGTGCTACCACTAGTACCACTAGTATATCATACGTACAGAGACTTGAGATCCCTACATACAAATACGCACGTTGTAAACGAATAGCAGTTATCGCTATGATGAGGTGTAATTTACAAGATGAAATTGTGCCTAACCTGTGGATGATGTCGAACGAGTGAAGAAACTGAAGTCCCCGAGCAATATCCAACTAACAACACAAAATTCACTGAGACCTAGCGTTCATACTGGTTGATCAGCTTTGACCGTACCATCATGTGAACTCGTTTAGTCCAGGATGTAGGAAATGGTGGAATTCGGCGCGTTTTGTCCGGAACGCCATTGATGAGCTCGCTGCACAGTATACATGCGTATGTTAAGTATAACACAACAGCTCATCTCGCTACGTCTAAAGAGAGCATACAAAAGCGAAAACGGGAGATACTCTAGTACGAGGGACAGTGGTTTTGCGCACACCGCAAGAAGCAAAACTAGCGATGGATTGGGGCCGAGTTGCTGCATCATGTTCACTTCATTTGCGAACTCACGCTCCACGGCGCTGCGATCAATACCGGTGAAACTACACACCGGTCGTCAGCTAATAAACTTTACAGGTTATTTGGATACTTACGACTTGACTGCAACTTCAGCTCCTCGCCAGTTTCCTTTGTAAACTTGACAACTATCCATGATGCAACATAAATAAATTGTTTTCGCTTTTAAATACTCCGAGCGCTTCTACTCTTATCACGCACCTGCTGCCAATTCCGATTTGCTTCTGAATGGCAAGATCCCTCCACTCGACTTCCCGAATTGTACACCCTGATTTGAGAATCTTGCCCAAGTAGGGTGACTTCAACTCAAGCCGCGTTGGTGAAGGGGGCGAAGCACCTTCATTCTTTTTTGGAGATTGTTGGTTCAATCCTAGTAGATCCACGCTACCAACAGGAGTAGGTGCACTCAACTGATTCCGTGTAGGGGAACCAGGCAGAGTTCCATTGGGATCAGGAGATTTTTGCTCTTCAGCTGCACGACAATGACACAAGTAAGCGTTCTGGAGACAACATTGGAACGGTGCTTAGCTCGCCTTGAAGAAGAATATATACAACGGGTAGGTTGCTGGAACATAGCCATCGCACATCCTGTCAATAGTAAGCACAATATAAATACCAATCTTTCCAATCAGCGACCTGAGTTAGTATTCGCATACCCCATCCGACTTTAATAGCATCGCTTCTTGGGGGCTTCATAAATCGATTGTCAGGTGTACTCAAATTTCAACAGCTTAGATGTGAACCTACCTTTTGAGGAACTTCAACGAGATTCCAGGGTGCATAGCTGCTGGAATATGCGGCTCAATGGCTTGCCGAAGTTCTAACAATGTTCGAACCATTGGCACGGGAAACTGCTTCACTGTATCCTTCCACTTGCACCGGAAAAGCATTTGCCGCGCTTCGTCTATACAGAACCGTCCGGTGGGTAAAATATAGCACCGCTTCGCATAGTGTTGTGAATCAAAGGTGTTACCTTTTCCAGGCCTTTCAGAGTATAAAGTTGGTGCTGATGGCGTCAGTAATGGTGCGTTTACATCATACAGCGGTTGCACGAGAGCACCGACTGATGGTCCATTAGTTGAGCCATCTATCCTCGAGCACAATTCCTTGATCAGGAGACGTAAGCTGTATCCCTGTGGCCACCCTCCCTGCAACAAATTAAGTCGACCATTTTCAAACATAGAGCCGGGAAGTCTCTGCCAATATACGTGAGATCTATCCAAAACTCTCAAAGCTGCATGTGAGACAACATCTCCTTACTTCAGCCCCTGCAGTGCAGGAAATCCAGGGAGCTTCGGCTGGAAAAGCTGACGAAATACGAACAACAAACTCGATCCTCCCGTCGACACCTCCACGAGCATGGTGCTGAACAACAGATCCGGAAGGGTACAGATGTAAAATGTGAACTTGAGTACTACATGGATAACATCCACTTGAGAAAGTGAATTACATTTTTCTTGAGCAAGGCGAGCTGAATGTCAACGCCACTGCAGTCCGCTGATCCTGTTCTGATGATGCGAATCCTACTCCCGGATATTTTCTAACGTTAGACAGCGATCTGGATTCTCATAGACGCTAGTGTCAACTTACCCATCTACGCGAGGCAATTTTCGCAGCTCCTTTTGAACTTGGACATAGGCGATCATGTTCTGGAGCTGCTGCTGTGTGGACTGCGAGGCATGGATGACCTTCGACGTGAGCGTAAGGACGAAACAGCGTAAAGCAATTTTACTCGGACTACAGACCACAGACAGGAAAAACAGATCCGGGACATTCGCGCGATGCATGTGCGTCGGTATGATCAGCTTGGCCAACAAGTGGTGGTAAAATAGCCGACTACTGAAGCAGTCAAAGTAACCGTTGATGAAAGTGGCTACACAGACGAAAAGAACAGATAGTGATGTCTCAGACCATGGGCGTCCAGCAAAAAATGCGCTGGCGTCCACAAACTGAGTTTTGTCCAGGTTGGACTCCAGCACTGCTGGACTGTTGCAGCGGAAATCCAGCGTAAGAGCGAAGCTTGCAAGGCAATTGCAGAGACCCAACCAATTCCTCCATTTTCACTTTTGCCTCCAAGCGCGAACAGCTCAACAACAACTACTACACCACCGCTCAACATGACTCGCTTCCTCTCCTGCCTCGCCATCGCAGTCTTCGCTGCCGTTGTCTCTGCCGACGTCGTGAGTGACGTGACATCAGCCGCAAATACTGCTGGAAGTGCGGTGTCCAATGCAGCAAACGCTGCAGCCAACGCAGCTTCACCTGCCGTGGACGCGACTGGAAGCTGGGTCAGTGGTGCCGCCGATACAGTTGCTAGTGCTGCTGAATCCGCTGCAAATGCTACTGGAAGCTGGGTCGACGGAGCTGTCGACACGGTATCCAGTGCCGCTGGACCTGCTCTCGACTCGGCTGGTAGTGCACTCGACAGCGCGGCGAGCGCGATCAGTTCGGCGGCCGATGAAATTTCCAGTGATATGCGAGATGACAGCGGATCCTCTTCAGCATCGGTGACAACGGTCTCCATGGTTGGTGTCGTCACAGCCATAACCCTCGTGATGAACTTCGTCTAAGTAGCATTCGCACTTGTGCCGAACTTTAAAGTGCGCTCATAAATTGATATTTCTTCTCAAGTTACTTCGTATCTTAATCCGTCTATTGCCATTACGATTGAGGTACATTCAAAGGGGATGATGGTGCAAACGAGTAGCCCGAGTTGGGGTGCAGGTAGCACAGATAGATATTATAGGTGTTGAAGTGGACAAAGCGTAGCGGTGATTGGCCAATTTTCTTCCGATACAAAATGTTGCATGTGCCACAGTAGAATTGTCGCGAATTATGTGGCGGAGCTCTTGGCGTGCCGCAGCCATCGCCGCATACCGCGGTGGTGCACGGCGTATCCCGAGCGTCAAAGTGGATGCGACTACTCGCCGGTTTGCTACGGGCTCTTCGTCGGCAGCTTACACTGTCGCTGGCGTCGGTCTCGCAGTGGCAGCAGCCATCACATACGAACAGCGAGGTGGGAGTTGAGACGATCAACAGCGCTTGACACTGTGAACTTACGTTCTGTTTGTCATTGTTTGTTTTTACGTTTTGCGTTTGTGTAGAGGAGGTCACACACTTAGAGGCACGCCGAGGAAAGAGCAGTACGCTGTCGCGTAACTTTATTGCTGATGCTGTGGAGAAGGCGTTCCCGGCGGTGGTGAACATTGCGGTTGACTCAGGTGAGCTTGGACATCGACTCTATCTTTAATTGATTATTGCTGCTTTCGAGTATCCGCTGATATTTTATTTAATACTGTTTCTCATAGGATACTTTGCTAGCAATGGATCGGGATTCATTATCACGAAGGAAGGGCTGATCGTGACGAACGCCCATGTTGTCGCTCGATGCAATCGCTACTCCAAGATTCAGGTCTGTGTTCAGGTGTGAGATGCTGTATTTATACCATACTAACTGATATTGAAACACGACCACAGGTGACGTTCGCGGATGGTAGCAACTACCCTGCTGTGATCCACAGCGCAGACCCTCTATCAGATATCGCCCTTCTCCAGATAAAGTCCGAAGAGGTGAAGGAGTGGCCTATGATTTCGATCGGCTCATCGTCTGAGCTGCGTGCAGGTGAGTGGGTCTGCGCCCTCGGCAGTCCGTTCTCCTTGCAGAACAGCGTGAGCGCTGGTATCATAAGCGCCGTAGCTCGGCACAGCAGCGAGCTCGGCTACCCGCAAAAGGGTGGCGAATACATCCAGACGGATGCGGCCATCAACGCTGGTAACTCTGGTGGTCCGCTCATTAACCTCGATGGTGAGGTAATTGGCATCAACACAATGAAAGTGGATGGCAGCGTGGGTATTTCGTTCGCCATTCCGGCGGATACGGCAGTCCAGGTCATCGAACAACTTCGGAAACACAAGAAGGTCGTACGACCTTACATTGGCATGCAAATGATCAATTTCAACACTCGAGAGCTCCAAGAGATCGGACGCATGTTCCCGGACGTGAAGGAGGGTGTAATCGTCAAGTCAGTTGCCCCAGGCTCACCCGCTCACAAAGGAGGCTTGCTACCCGGCGACGTGATCGTTTCGTTCGACGGAAAGAAGGTGCAAAGTACAAAGGACATTTTGACCACAGTGGGTTACACCATCGGCCGTCACATCCCTGTGCAGGTTAAGCGCCGCGGAGAAAAAAATCTCGTTAAGCTGAAAGTGACAACGGAACCGTTGCCACCTCCGATCCAGCAGTTCAGAGGCTAGATATAAATTGAAGTCTTGCGGATGGCTTCAAAATTCGAAAATAAAACCGAAAATTGAAGTCTTGCGGATGGCTTCAAATCCGAAAATAAAACCGTAACAACTATCCCTGGATCCGAAAATAAAACCGAAAACAAGACTGCTGGATTTTCGTGCTCGCTGGTTTTTTAGTTACTTCCGCGTTACTGAGTCAAACGCAAAAGTTTCAACATCATAAAGAAACCTGAGCACAATAATGGCGGATCCACAGCCGGTGAAGGTGCCGCCAACGTTCAAGACGCTGCTGCCGTTCATCCGGCGCGCCGAGGAGCTGGATAGGGATACCTCGCGGCCAGAGTCCAAGCTAATCGCGTATTTCTGCCGCCAGTATGCTATGGAGCTGGGCATTAAACTTCGCGAGAACGACGCGTCCAACGAGGCGACAGACTACTTGCTATCGCTCATGGACCGCCTGGAAGATGAAAAGAACAAACTACCAGACTTTACGCAGGAGGAAGGGAAGGTCAGTGGGCAATGCGATACGGTGTTTCCTGATGTTGGAAGTAGTGTGCTGAATGAGCTGAACTGATTACAGGAAATCTGCGAGGATTTCGCAATGGAAATTTTCTCCAAGGCGGACGATGAGGATCGCGCAGGACTGGCGAACAAGTGCGTGGCGAGGGCTACAGCATTAAAGGCGGCTTGAATCTTGTCCTGCTGACGTTTTTGGATGTGGCTGCGTTTTCTACAGGGGCACTGCTCGTACGTTCTACGCTGCTGGCACGTTTTTCGACATTCTGAACCAGTTTGGGGATATATCCGAGGATGTAAGATATTTATATGTTAAGAGTGTTAGACATGGCAATGCCTGATGTATAGTGTGTCTTTCAGGTTGTGGAGAAGCGTCGCTACTGCAAATACAAGGCTGCGACGATTTTGAAGGCGATTAAGGAAGGTAAAACGCCGACGCCCGGGCCGCCAGAAGGACTGGACATGAAAAATGTGCGTATATGCGTCGTGGAACGTGGTAAACGAAGAGCTGACAGGATTTTGTTGCACTTATTCAGACAGAAGACGGAATTGATGAGGCAGCGCCAGCACCCACACCGGTGCCTGCCACTCCGCAGCCACCTGCTCCCGCTGTGGTAACACCACCGCTGCAACCATCAGAACCAGCATACAACCCAACATCTTTTCCTTCACTCACCGAGTCGGTGAGATCAGCGGGTGCAATGAGTGCGAGCGAACTTGATAGTACTTGGGCCGGGCCTCCTACAATCCAGTCACCCCTAGCACCATCAGCCCCGAGCCACTCTGCACCGGCCGCTCCTTCATCCTCGGCGTACTCAGTTCCCACGGCCCCACCTGCTCCCACAGCTCCAACACCACCCTACCGGCCACCACCAGCTCCAACTCCGGCATATCAGCCTCTCCCTGCTCCAAAACAGTCGTATCAACCTCAGCCCAGTTACACACCTCAGAGCACACCTGCTCGCACGCGTACTACCCCCGCATCACAGAACGAGATTAATGACGCGATTGAGTACGCCAAATTCGCCATCGCTGCTCTCAAGGTACGCGATTCGGTTTTTGTTTTGGCAATTCATTACCTGGTTACTTACATAATTCTTTGTTCCCAGGTGAAAGATATGAAGCTGGCAGAAGAGCGTTTGGAGATGGCCCTGCGCAATATTAGAGGAGGGTAGATGCATTGCTGCCAGACTTGAGTGCTTTTTTTTTCAGAATTATTCGTATTGTTCATCTTTTTGTTGTCGTAAGCGTTATTTTTCCAGCTTCAAGTGGGCACCCTTACGTGAAGGAAGCGTAGATAGAGTGGCCTGAGCCCAGTCCTTGATCTCTGAAAACTGCGCTAGAATTTCGAATACTGGAGTGCGCAACAGAGTTAGAATCAGTACAATTCAACAAACATCAATTAGACCTACCATGGTTGACAGTCAACACACGCGTTGCAGAGCCCATTTCGACGACGGTGTCGAGTGGCAGTTTAGCGGTCTCAATGCCTTGTTCCACCGCCTTCTCGTACGT